GTGTGCTTTGGTGGAGTCTCTGGTCTGCTTGTGGTGTTTGGTTTTCCTGTGGCTTGATTGGTTTCTTAAGTCAGTTTGTTTGAGCAGGCAGACAGCTTCCTACTGTCTTCCCATCTCCTGGCCAGAGAAGTAGGATAGCATGGAGGGTGGTATGGTATCTTTGTGCTGCTTTGCACACAGGCCATAAATAATATGTCTTTGTTTCCAGTGTCCCATCTTACATATTTTATCACTTTCTCCAATGTCATTCTAAGTAGAAGAGCTGGACTTGTTAGGACTGGAGGAAGCTGAAAACCTCCCTAGATTCCTTTTCCAATGTGATTCTTTCTAATGCTGCAGATTATGTCCAATTTAGCTGGAAGAACTAAGTCAACTTTTCTATCACTATTGGAGAGACCTTAAGATATGGCTGGGTTGGACAAAACAGTGAAGGCCACTGAGAACCATGTAGTGCATGAGGTGTGCTGCCCCATCCCTACAATCAGAGTCCTATTAGCCTACTCTTTCCAAGGACTTGTATTTAAGTACAATTGAATCTCTAAAGTTTTGGTGGAGTACTAGGTACTAAGAAGAAAAATAAGACAAGTATCTTGTAGTGTTGGCATTTGTTTTATTTGGATATTTGCATAGCTAATATAAATGGAAATACTTCATAGTTTTATTATCACTGCAATCTATAAATTAATTTAATCTTTAAAACAACCTTATATGTAGTATTGTTAGCCTTGTTTAGAGATGAAGAAACTGAAGATTAAGTAACTTGTCCAAGATCACTCAGGCTCCCTGTCCCACAAACATGCTCTGAGCAGAACCACCTTCAGCAGGACAGAAATGAGAGTATGGATAGCATTGTCAGGCCTGAGCAAACAACCTAAACACTTCCAGTCCCCTTAACATGAGTCCTTTTCTTGAGAAAAACTCATCTTTATCAAAATATTGCAGGGTTGGGTATAGGTGAAATGTTCACTCCTCCCTTTTCTTGAAAGGATTCACAACTTCATAAGATTTGTTAGAAAATTAGATTTAAAATTCAAATTTTACCTAATCTAACAGTATCTCAGAACCTATGTGATTCTGTTTGGCATGACTAGCAACCCAATGACCAAATCATTGAGAACAGTTTCTGGTTCTCTATTCTTGCTTTCCTAATGGATGGGGCTAAGAAGATGGACAAAGGATTTCTTTGTGCAAAAACAATTGGCCAAGTTAACCCAAGCGCTATAGGCAATAGATATGCATGTGAAAACCCATAGGGTCTGCCTCTCTTGGTCTCATTTTGAAGTAAGGCTAAACCACCTTGAAACTACTTGGATTGCCTTCTAGTTGAAAAATGAACTTTACAGTTTAAGCAGGGGGGGGGGATGGAGGGGAGAGTGTAGTTGTTGACGTGGGAGGGAAGGGATGGTAGGGGAAAAACAAAGGAGGAAGTAACAATGCCTGATAGGAAATGTACTCATTACCTTACTCATGTAACTGTAACCCCTCTGTACAGTATTTTTGCAATAAAATGTATATATAAAAAAGAAACTCTCCCTGTATATGTGAAGAGGAAACACAGTTTCTTTGGGTTCAAATGAAGGACAGCTTAAAGCATCTCAATATGAAAAAATGATGAGGTGGCTGCATTGAGATGTCCCTCTATAAGACTTTAGGAGATGAGAGAATATTAGACAGAAAATGAGTCACTAAAGATCACAGTGGAGATATATGATGGGTAATTGTTTAGACATCTTGAAATAGATTCTGTGATCAGATCCTGGAAACCACCACACAGGGAGGAGAGGTAATAGTTTATACACTTTAAACAAGGTATACCCTGATCGGAACCATTATATCTTTTATAATATATATTTTTTATTTTTATATTTATTTATTTTTTTAACTTTTTTTGTTTGTCATGGGGCCTGAACTCTGGGCCTGGGCACTGTCCCTCAGCCCTTCAGCTCAAGGCTAGTGCTCTACCACTTGAGCCACAGCACCACTTCTGGTTTTCTGGTGGTTTATTGGAGATAAGAATCTCATGGTCGTCGGGCTGGGAAGGTGGCTCAGTGGTAGAGTGCTTGCCTTGCATGCCTGAGGCCCTGGGTTCGATTCCTCAGCACCACATAAGCAAAAGGAAAAAAAAGCTGGAAGAGATGCTGTGGCTCAAGTGGTAGTGCTCTAGCCTTGAGCTGAAGAGCTGGGGGACAGCGCCCAGGCCCAGAGTTAAGGCCTCACGACCGGACTCCCCCCACCAAAAAAAAAAGAATCTTATGGTCTTTCCTGCCCGGGCTGTCTTTGAACCTCGATCCTCAGATCTTAACCTCCTGAGTAGCTAGGATTATAGGAATGAGCCACCAGTGCCTGGCTTATAATTTTTATTGTAACCCATTGTATCTTTGTTAATTCTCTCTCAGGATTATCATGAAGATAATAAAACAACTTGAAAATAAATGTAGAATAGTAACTACAATGGTAAATGGACTATGAAATTGTTATCATAGACTTTTATAAATGTTATTCATATTGAACAATATTTTAGAAAAGACATCAAATTAAAATCAGTGGATTTGGTTTTTAATTGGGTTCAGTATTAGTATCAGCAAAGAAAGGAAGGGCCTATCATGGTTGCTCATGCCTGTAAACTTGGCTTTTTGGGAGGGAGAAATTAGTGGGATTATGGCTTAAAGGCTATCCTGAGCAAAATATTAATACCCTAGAACAACCAACAACTGGACGTGTGCTTCATGTAAATACATGACTCTTAAGTTCAAACTCCAAACAAAAACAACCAGCCAAAAGAAAAACAAACTAATGGAATGAGATGGAAAGCCAGGGCTAAGTGAATGAACAATGAGCATTAAGTCAGTTTGGTCCCAGTTACAAGCTGAGAGAAAAGCAAATGCTAAGCTTACCCTTCTTGAAATCATTTGGATAATAAAATTTGCCTTACTTGCCACCTATAGGACTTTTTATTCACAATATCTGGAACCACTTAATTCCAACTTCCTATCAGTGGCATCTTAATTTTCAGGGATCAATCACTACAGCCTCCAGACAAGGGAGTCCACAGTGTGGAAGCTCAGTGGTTGTAACCCTCCCTTCCTGGTAACTGCTCACTTAACTAATGAAACAGAAAATGAAACAGAAAATTGTTCTTTGGGAATAACCATCCCCCACCAACCTAATCCTTACTCCTGGGGACCTATTTTCTCCTCATATATTTAAATCCCTGTCTTTGAGGTAAGTTAGCCTATTTTCCTTAACATCCTTCCTGCTTAGGCTTGTCCTGGTCCGTTCTGACAGGAAAGGCAGACAGAGCCAGGTTGCTAAGGATGTGTGCTGGGGCAAGGACAAGCACAGTCATTCAGAGAAGTCACTAAGACAAGGCCAGATGGGGCCAAGCTTGGCAACTGTGCTACATAGCTGAAAGGCATCATCTAAGAGAGGTGACAGACAGGGCACAAATACCATCTTCTCAGACAGCTCTGTGGCATGAAGGTAGTTTTGCCATTCTGGCTGTTCTGCCTTCTATTGTTTCATGGCATTGTGTGTTTGCCCAACTTTTTTTTTTTTTGCAAAATGAACACAAGCTCTTGCTAACCACTTTCCAATTAAACCAAATCAAGTAGGATAGAGACTTTGAAGATGTCTGTCAGCTCTGGTGTCTGTTTTTACCTTCTGATTCCTTTCTCTTTGTCAGAGCCTTACATCTTTCTCCTTAACTATTGTCAGAAAATTGTCAATGGAAAGATTCCTTGAAAAAATAATTTTAAGGAGGGAATGCCAAAAACAAAAAAATAATGTACATAGGCTACATTTGAATTCTGACTTTGATACTTCCTCTATCTGAAACAGGTTGGGGGGGGAGGGCATCTTGCATGCAAGAGAGAGTGAGAGAGAGTGAGCAGAAGAATGAGCAAGAGCTAGTCTAAGTAAAAAATGGCCTAAATTGTAGCTGCTAGTCTCACAGATAAAGTTTATACTGCTGTTATCATGAATATTTCCTGAAGATATAATCTTTCCATATCACTTGAGCTAGTAACTCCTAAGTTTTTCAGAACATGAACATTAATAGTGGAGGTGAAAGAGATACAAGTGTTTGCTAGCACATTGTTTCAAGTGGAAGTGAGCAGAAAAATGAGCACTTAGGCACCTATTTACGGGCTTTAAGTGCCCATTTAGTCATCTCTCATAGCTCCTGGAAAGACTATCTCTTTTCACATTTATTCCTTTAGCCAACAGCTATGGAGCACTGCCTCTAAGGTAGGCAAACTATTAAATGATGAGGTATCAGAAATGATTAAGTTACTTCATGTTATGTGACAGGCGAGGATAAAGTTTAATGTGAAGACAGAGCCATACATGGGGTATTATTGGAGCTCAGAGCATGAATTATATTCAGAGGTCTGGAGGCAACACTTGAGAAATCTTAGATGAACCTGGTACAGGCATATCTATACAGACAAAAAAGTAGATTAGTGGTTGCTATGGGCTGGGGTAGGGGGAAGCATTGAAAGAAACTAGAAAATGTCTACAAACTGGTAGGAAATGAGCAGACAAAATAGACAGAGATTGACAGTGGGTCTTCCTACATCTGCCTAATTACATGCCACCAAATTGATGTGCCCAGGCCCAGATCACCCATACTTTTACCCCTTTAATATAAGGCATACAACCTCTCTGGGTTTCTTTTTTCTCTATAAAATTATGCAAGGCAAAATAATAACTTGCTAGGCTACTTGTCACATATGTAGGGTCAAACCTGGGAATGAATATGAAAAAGGTTTGAAGGGGGTGTGGGGGAGGGGAAGGGGATGTGCCTTGCTTTGCACAGAAGTCTAATGAACTGAGGATTACAGCTCTTGCCCTTTGAAGGAATGTCTTTACGTCCTCGTTCTGCTCATCAAATCACTTGTATGTGTGCCTTGTTTAAATGTTCTTAATGTCTTAGGAGGGAATGATAACTTACTCCTTTGTATGTTTTTGATTTTTATCCTTTTTCTCTTGCCTTGGGCTAGCAAATGGAACCTCCAGCAGCCAGCTGTCTACTCCCAAGTCTAAGCAGTCTCCCATCTCCACTCCCACCAGCCCTGGCAGTCTCCGGAAGCACAAGGTATTATGTCTCTTATACCTTACTAAACTCCTTTGCATTCAGTTTCTTTATTGGATAGGTGGAGGTTTTCTTATCTATTCTACTTCAACGTACAGTGACAGCAGAATTCCATTTCATCTGCCTCCATTATCTTCATTTCCTGAGAATCCCAACAGGGTCTAAATTTCTAGTTATAATCTTAAGTGCCCATTCTGAAGTAATGGTGTAACCAAACCGCGATTGTGGCATGGCTTTAGCTCTTGTCTCCTTAATTCAGTGAAACAGAAAGAAGGTGTTGAAGGAAGCTTCTATCACCAGGTAACCTACCAATGGAAATAATGTGATAGTGGTTCAAAGAAAAGGTGCACGAAGTTACTCCCTTTCAATTCAGTGGACTTCAATAACCAAAGGGCTCTACTTTCACTGTGCACTGTTTATTAGCAGGCAGATTTTTGTGAAATATTTGTACAAATGTATTGCAAGGGCCATAGTCACCATTAAGACCCTTTGTGCTAACACAGAAAAATACATCATTAAAATAATAGAAGTGTAAGAGCTGGAGGCATAGCTCAGTGGTATAAGGTTGCCATTTTACATACAAGAAAAATGAGACAGAGATAGGTAAGTTACTTCCTAGGGCAACTTAGTTATAAAACAGGTACCCAAGTAATCACAAGTGGTATTCTGAAGTCAGTTCAAAACTATCTCTTAAGAGCACATTGTATGCATCACATTCTGTGTTCAGTGACATTGTGTTTGTAACTTGAACTCTGCTATGGTAAGGGCAATTATACCATGGAAATAAGAAAAAAATAAGTAAGTTAATATTGTCATTTTCACACAGAAAATCACTTGTTAGCATTTAACAATACACTACACTCTGACATTCATTTTCATTTCCTTTTCTCTACATCAGTCTTCATTTCCAGGTTAATCTGACTCTTACTTGCTCTATCTTTGCTAATGCGATTCCATTCCTCTAATAACCTCTTTTTCTTTTGCCAGTCCTGGGCTTGAACTCAAAGCCTGTACACTGTCCCTAAGCTTCTTTTGCTGAAGGCTAGTACTCTACCACTTGAGCCACAGCACCACTTCTGGCTTTTTCTGTTTATGTGGTACTGAGGAATAGAACCCATGGCTTCATGCATGCTAGGCAAGCATTTTACCACTAGGCCACATTCCCAGCCCTTTTAATAACCTCTTTAACGTCCAGTATTGACCTTTCTGATTGTTCTGTTGAGCTGTTTGGCTTCAAGATTTGCTGAACTGTTTTACAGACTGTTACCCAGATATCAAAAGATGGATGAAAATTGCATTTATAGTCAGTTTTCAGTTACTGATGAGCAGAAAACCTTGCTAATATGGACATTACAAAATAGAACAACCTACATCTGTTCTTCTAATGCCTATAAAGAACCTCCCATACCACCATGTTTCTTCCATTATATTTTCCCTATGCCTTTATGCCCTACCTTTCTTCTAGGAAGAGCCACTTTCCTAAGTATCTTCCATCACTTACTCCAGCACTGACTCCAAAATGCTGGAGGCAACTTGAGCATTTACTCTGTACACTCAGTCAGTTTAAATCATCCATGTCCAGTTTATTTAGACTGAGGATTGATCATCCCTAAGTCCACTAAGGTGAGTGAGTGTTGACAATGTCAAACTTTTTGGTTGTTCTTGCAGGCACTTGTGTGTGTGTGTGTGTGTGTGTGTGTGTGTGTGTGTGTGTGTGTGTGTAAGTAGGGTTTCAATTCTAAAAACATTTTAACCATTGAAGAACTGAAAGTGACAGAACTGTCTGACCTTACTGATTCCTTCATTGTTGAATTTTCAATATGTCATTTTATTTTTAAAATAATCTTTTTTGTGTCATTCCTGGGGCTTGAACTCAGGGCCTGGGCATTGTCCCTGGGCTTTTGTGCTCAAGTCTGGAGCTCTACAACTTGAGCCACACCTTGACTTCCAGCTTTTTGTGGTCAATCAGAGATGAGAGTACCACATACTTTCCTTCCCAGATTGGCTTTGAACTGTGATCCTCAGATCTCAGCTTCTCTGTAGCTAGGATTACAGGTGTGAGCCACTGGTACCTGTCAATAAAATTATTCTTTTAGTCAATAATACAAACATGAAGTAATAAATCTAGAGCAAGTATTAAAATAAACACTTATATTTGTATGCCATGCTATTTTATGAACATACTTTAATACACATTTAATTTTCTGTATGCCATGCTGTTTTTATAAACATATCTTTATATCACTTCCAGGTTATAGAAGAGCTATATCAATTTTATGTAAATTTACCAGTTACTTATATTTTGCCACATTTATTTTTCCATTCTACCTCTTTGTGCATGCATACAAAAGCACATATATACTCATTACACTTTACTATTTTCCAAAACCATGAGATTAAATTGCAAACATTATGCATTTTTACCTTTAAATATTCAATATATCTAATAAAAGAGACATTTTCTTTTCTAATCACAGTACAATGACCAAAGCTATGAGGTTTAATACTATCATCATTTTGCAGCACATATTCAAGCTTTATCAATTGCTTCAGTGATGTTATTTTTCTGGTCTAAGATCTAATCTAGGATCATAAATTATAATCAGTTACAATGTCATTTTATTCTTTTGTAATTTGGAAATTTTCCTGAACCTTTATGTTTCAGGAAAGTATATTGTAGAAATGAAAAGCATAGGGTAGTTATTTGGTAGACTTCTGTTTTCCTTTTTCTTTTCTTCTTTTTTTTGTACTGAACACTCTTGCTCAGCTTGCTAGTTCAAATCTGACACTGTACCACTTGAGCCCTGCCTTCATCCTGCATTTTTGCGGGTTAACAGGAGAATTCAATCCAGTCTGGCTTTGAGCCTTAATCTTTCAGGTCTAAGTCTCCTGAGTAGCCAGGATTGCAGGTATGAGCCATGACTACCTCATTCTTTCTTTCAATTTGGGCTTGTCTTATGTTTTCTCATGACTAGAGTCAGGTGATGCATTTGGGGCAGGAATATCTGTAAATGATATCACATCCCTCCTACTGCACCTTACCAAGAGGCAATAGCTTCATGTTTTATACCACCAGTGATGGAGGCTGAACTGATTTTTCTGAATGAGCTAAAAAATATGTGCTGTAGCTACTCTAATCCCCTTGTGCCTCAGTTTCCAGCTTCACACCACTCCGTTTAGCCAGCTTTCTGAGCCTTAACACCATCAATATCTCTGGACAGTGGCCCTTAACATGTCTCATCTGAACTTCTGTCCAAATGGACCTGAAAGGTGTGAGTCATGTTGGAGACAGGAAGCAGGTGGCTGAGGCCATGACTTTCCTTCTGCATACTTGGAAACAATCTTGAAATCCCAGCATCCCTTTGGTAACTTTTGATGGCTGTGGCAGGCCTAAATTGTAATCAGAGTTTTGGCTTCTCTTGTAGAGCAGCTCATGTAGAATCCTCTTTAATGCAGCTGCAATGGGGTTAGCCAAAGTCCGCATACTCAAGTGCTATGATATGGACACAAAGTAAATCTTTGAGTTGTTAATGAGAACAACATTTTGCTTTTCTGTACTGCTTTAACCTTCTGTGATGCTATTTTCTCATTCACTATTATGATATTCCTGTGGAGGAGTTGGGGTGATTAGCATTCCTATTGTATTGATTTGAAGAAAGGACTATAGAGAGATTAAGGAGAAAAATTTATTGAAGTCACCATCTGGAGATAGTCCCCTATTGGTGATGTTCAAAAAATCTAGAAATACAGAGAAAACCTTCTGTTCGGTTAATTTTTTCAGGTTACTGCATTCCACTTAGGAAATTGAAGAAAATATATTTAATACATTATCTGAACATCTATCTGTACACCACACACACACACACACACACACACACACACACAGATTCTTTCATCTTCCTCCATGTGATTGGAGAGATATTTTGATGAACAAACCAAAACCTCGACCTTGAAATCGGAGTAATAAAAGGATTCGAGGTACAAAAACAGAGTAAGAAAAACATCTGATTTGGGGAGGGTAGGAGATGGGGAACGATTTTCAAAGACATGACATTTAAATAGGATCTCCAAGGCTTTGATTGTTGGTTTAGAGAACAGGCATTCCAGCTTTGAAAAATGTCCATAAGAACAAAGCCACACCTCCATGAACATTCAGGGCTCATTCAAGAAATAGAAAATGTGGAATAGAAGCCAGATTTCTCAAAAGCCTTTCATGACTTTCTTTGGACTATAAGTTCCTTGGACCACAGACCAACTTTTTTGTTTTCTCTAATGCAGTAGTATTGCCAGCACAGCTGCATTTGTTATAAACATTTTGTTCCTTAGGGCTCCAAGGGACTAAGCAAATGAATTTCAGGTGCAAATTATTTGTATTGTTAAGCGATATGCATGTTTCTGTATTTCTACATATCAGTCAACAGAAACAGAATTCAGAGACAATGACTTTTCCTGAACACTCTTCTACCCGTACAAGGAAATAAAGTATAAATAGGAAATAAATTATCAATAGGAAATAGGGAGATCAGCAGTTCAGAGGTTGATACCTACGTCTAGTCTCATGGATTTTCACCATAGCCTTATCCATACCTACCTTAAGTCATCATTGCACTCTTAGATGTTTACTACACTCTTAGATGTTTACTACTTTGTCTGAGCTAAAGTCTGGAACAATATTCTCATAGAATTATTTCCATAAACCAGTTCCACTAAGTGTCTTTTACTTGAACAAGTTAGAGCAGAAGTGGATGTGGATGCTCAGTAGTTCATTGTGGTAAGACTCACAGTGGCCTCTAAAATTTGTAAAGTCATTGTGTACTGCCTGAAAATGACTCTAGGAGTTCACCAACAAAAATATTCAGTTCACTTTATGTGATTTAGTGTAACTAAAGAAAAATGCAATTATTAGAATTGCATCTTTAAACAATTTGAGAACAAGAAAGAATATTAGAGATCGGATAGTCCACACCTCCTTCAGTTTTCAGCTAAAGAAAGTAAAGGTCCTGAAAGCGTAAGTTAAAAGACAAAGCTAGGCTTATCAAGTGAATATTATGACTCTTAATCCTGTCATTTTTCTACCAGATGGGAGTTTCATAATATGTATGTTGAAATTATGAAAAAAATAAAACTGTCTGCGTGTCAGTAGCCCATGCCTGTAATTCTAGCTACTCAAGAGGCTGAGATCTGAGAATTATGGTTCAAACTAGCCCAGGACAGAAAAGTCCTTGAGACTCTTATCTCCAATGAACCAATAGAAAACCAAAAGTTGTGCTGTGGCTCAAAATGGTAGAGTGCTAGCCTTGAGTGCAAAAATTCAGGGACAGCACCTAGGCTCTGAGTTCAATCCCCATTTCCAACAAAAAATAAAATTAAAAAGGAAAACTACTACAACCCCTCTTACATTCATACATATTATTACATTGTAAATATTATGATGTTAATTATCCATCCCTGCATGCATTTTGCTGTATATGATTGTATTCTTTTTTAATGTTTTATCTTAAGTAGTTATACAAAGAGGTTGCTATTTAACAGTTTATGAATACAATGCATCTTGCTCAATGTCACCCATTTCAACATTCTCACCCATTCCTCCCAAACCACCCGTTCCCTCACTTTTCTTCATTTGTAACATAGACATTGAATTCTTGACTGCATTCTCTTCTTCATTCTGCCAACTCCTTTCTCTATGACCCCACCCCTCCCCTTCCAAGTACTTGCTTCCTAGTGTTCATTTTGACGAACTTTGACTCTGCCTTTCTAAGGCATTACATTCTTTTAGTTTTCCCTTGAATCCATATTTCAGTTAATTCATTCTACCATATTTCAGTTAATATATTTGTATTCACTTGAATACCACCTAATATATTTACTTATTAGTATATAAAAGAATTCTAGCTTACATACATGAAGGAAAATATACACCCTTTTTCTCTCTGCCAGACTTACTTCACTTAACATAATTTTTCTAGGTCTTTCCATTCCTTTACAAATGATACTATATTATTCCAATTGGATGAGTAAAATTCATATATTCGTATATATATACATATATACGGAGATGTAGGTCAAATGATGCAAAGCAATTTTGTAAATTGAATAAATCTAGAGATCTAATGTACAACACAAAGACAGAAGCTAATAAAATTATATTAGGAGAATTCTATTTTCATTTACTGGGGATTTATCCCAGTCCTGGGATATGTGCCAATCCTGGGGATTGAACTCATAGCTTAGGACCTGTCCTTGAGATCTTTTGCTCAAGGCTCTACCACTTGAGCCACATTTTCAATGATGGTTAATTGGACATAAGAGACTCATGCACTTTCCTGCCCAGGCTTGCTTCAAATTCAGATCTCAGCTAGGATTACAGGTGTGAGTCACTGGCACCCAGCCATATTTACCACAGTATAATGTGGTATATCTTCATTATTTTCCTTTATATATGATAATTATGACTTTAAACAAAAATAATTTTTCTTGATTTCCTTAAATATTTCTATGCAATTATGTCTCCCAGTCTTTGCTGAGGATTGGGGAATCTCTCCCTTAGCCTTTAACTTGCTACTTGCATAGGGCTTCAAGGTTAGCCAGAGATGAAAAACTAGAGCTTCTCTTTCCTGAGAATATGCCCAAGCCTCAACATATGCCTGACCTTCTAGATTCCTAGGAATATATATTAGAAGCTTTCAAAGCTCCCTATGAAGAGCTACTTCTATACAGTTTTCCTTATGAGGCCTGAAGCAGCTTTATTTGTTCCACCTTTTGCCCACCTTCAGGCAACTACAATTTTTAAATACTTGTATCTGCTTTTAACACACCCTGAAAATACTGTTCCAATAAGTGTGCTCTGAATTATGTCAAATAAAGAAATCTTTAAGATAGAGTTTCCAGTGTGCTCCAACACAGACCAAAGTGTGACAGTTCTCTGAGAATGAGTCATTGTTGAGCTCTGATTACTCAACTTCAGTGATGCCCAGGTTGCTTTTTGTGGATATTGGAGGCTGCTGATTTTCAAGGGTACTGTGAAACTGGAAATGGGAAGAATGAAAGTAGGACAAGCTAAGACACCACAAATCATAGTAGCATTACAAGTTTCAAACATTTTTGTTCAATAAATACCTCTTTTTAATTATGTAAATACCGTACAGAGAGGTTACAATTACATGGGCAAGGTAATGAGTACATTTCTTATCAAGCATTGTTGCCTCTTCTTTATTTCCCCTTCCCATCCCTTCCCATCTCTCCATCGCCCTGCCTACTTCACCTCCCCCCTGCACCAAAGTTGTAAAGTTCGTTTTTTGACATAACGTCTTGTACATCTCATTGTTGCAATGGGTCCACCTGTATCCCTATTTAAATGATTTATTTTTTCCCTTCCCCTCCCCAAAGTATACCAACATCAAATACAGTGAAAACAGGGGTTATACCGTGGGAGAGGAACATACAAAGCAACAAAGAAATCATCTTATAAATATGTTAGAAACAATAGCAAGAAAGAAAAACCATTTGAGTCCTTATCTTGGGTTTCATTTCACCTAACATCAACTTATCTGACCATTTCTGCTTTTATTTTTGCAAACCTTCAGTTCATTTCCAGAGTTCTGAAAAAAGTTACTTTACTAATGTCACTGTATTTATGGAAGAACAAATTTTCATGGTATGACTCCACCTTTCTGGATGTCAAGCTCAAAAATATTTTGGCTCTTATTGAATTTTAATATTACTTAAGCATTTGTGAATTAAATCCCTGTATACACTACTTTATTATATATTCTTTTGCTTTAATTCAATTTTATAAACATGTTGTTACAATGTTATTATTCCTTACATTATGTCTCATACATCTTTATTATTTTTGTTATTAAATTCTGTGTGATCGTTTAGGACAGGTACCCCTCTGGCCTGAGTCCCACTATATTTTTGTGTAAATAATCCCTGATAGAAAAATAATGTACATCTTAAAGAGACATGAAGAAATAAATCTCAAAGAAATGAAGAAGCGTCTGTGAAACAGATCGTACATGACCATCAGAGAAAGTCCAAAATATTATTGCTTACCCTTTTACAAAAAAGTTTGTTAAACCCTTATATACAGTGAAGGAGGGGACAGTAGTTGATGAGACAAGTTTATTTTTCTATGGTTGTCTTTGTTGTGTTTTTAAATCATTCAGTATTCCTTTGAGAGCCACTGGTTATATAGTCTCAGAGCTGGAAGAGACCTCATGGGATTGTCTATTACAAAGTATGTATATTTTTCAGATGGTGTCTCATTATGTACACCTGGCTAGTCTTAACTCCAAATTCCGGGGTATTTATCCCAGTCCTGGGATACGTGTGTCAATCCTGGGGATTAAATTCAGGGCTTAGGACCTGTCCTTGAGATCTTTTGCTCAAGGCTCTACCACTTGAGCCATGTCACTCTGGATTCTTGATGGTTAATTGGAGATAAGAGTCTCATGTACTTTCCTTCCCAGGCTTGCTTTGAATTCAGATCTCAGCTAGGATTACAGGTGTGAGTCATAGGCACTCAGCCATATTTACCACAGTTTTATATCAGATAACACAGAACTGAAATCATCCCATATGCCATTACATAGGTGAATGGTCAAAAGGTGTTATAACCACACCATGGAATACACTCTACAGTATAAAAGAGCAAAATGCTGATACATAGAACAACTTGGATGAATCTTCAGGGAATTATGTTGAGTGAAAGAGATGAATCCTAAAATGTTACTTTATAGTTCCATTTATACAACATTCTTAAGATGCAAATTGTACAGATAGAGTACATTATTTGTTGCCAAGGCATAGAGATAAGGGAAGATAAGTCTATAAAAGGGTAATACAAGGGAGCTCTATGTGAGTACAGTTCTGTATTTGTACACATGATACAATCACACAAGATTATACATGCACACATACACACACAAATGAGAATGACTAAAACTGCAAGCTATTACCCATGGGGAAAAGTGAGTGAATGGGGCATCACTGCATAGATACTTCTTATATCTTTTTCAACTTCTGTTGAAAATGAAATACAAAATAAAAATTAGAAAAAATACTAATTAGAAAACAACATGAAACAATCATTCCATATCTTGAAAGGTGAAAGAAAAGAAAAGTTAACTTTGTCTCTTCTCTTCTTATAGGACCTGTACCTTCCCCTCTCGTTGGATGATTCGGATTCACTCGGTGATTCCATGTGAAGGAGACATGACTACAGAGTCCAAAGTATAAATGCAGGCCTACCAGTAATGTAGGGTAACTTTGCTCAAATATCCAACAGGACTCTTGGTGCTTTCAAATTTTGTTGTTGTTGTTATTTTCAAAACACACTGCAGTATGTTTGAGTTTACTTTCCTGTGACTTCTCCTCTGGGCCACTAATTCACAGTTACCAGTTATGAGATAGATTGATAGCCATCTTTTAAGGTAACATTCCAGGAATGCAAAATGTGCTAGTCCATGAACTTTCTACTGAGCACTTTGCTCTTACGTGACAGCTTTACTTCTGTGGGGTGCATAGCCCCCAAAATGTTTTCATGGGGTACAAAAACTCATTGGTAGTTTCAATAGTGATAAAGCTAAGTTCTTTTTGTCTTAAAATTTAACAGTGCAGGAGGATTCCTGAGGTTGGCAAGGCAGCTCCCCAGCCTTGCTTTTCACTCTTAATTTTGCGCCCCACCCCCAGCTTGTTGTCTAGCAACAATGTTGGTTGACAAGGGGGACAAACACCAGCAACTTATAATTGTGATACAAGATTGTTAGGACCATGGTGCAGAAATAGCTAAAAATAGTGTGACAGAATTGGGAAATGCCCAAAACACTTCAGTAGAGTTTATAAAGCACAATGAATTCCTGGTCAACCATTTTATTCCAGTGGGACAATTTGGAATCAATAAGCAATTGATAGGAGTCTTGGGTAAGGGACTTCATATACTTGATTCCTCAAGGAGGCTGTCTAACATACCAGCTTATAATGTGAACTGTGTGGTATCCATCTATCTCTGTTCTATTGAATGCCTTGTAAACAGCCAACACTGAAAACACTGTGAGAATTTGTTTTCAGGTCTGACACCTTTTGGTCGATTTTTATAGCAAGAAACCAGTATCCTTTTTATAAAACATGCCTGTATTTCAGGAGCACACTCTTCAGGCTCCTTTTTTATAAACTGGTGATTTTTCTTTTGTCTAAAAAACACACGCAGAAAACTTACCAAAAAAATACGGAAGAATAATGTAGTTTAGAAATCATGCAGTCACTGCCAAACAGAAATCTCCAGGAGAAAATAAAATGAATAGCAAAGGGCAATTCAATAGAATCAGTCTTTTGATAGCTTTTTGACAGTTGTGCTTACATTAATAATAATTTCAATGTGGACCAGACATTCTAATTATATTTTAAATGAGATGTTATGGCATATTTTCAGCAACTCTTTTTATCTATAATCCTAATATTTCATACTGAAGACACAGAAACCTTTCACTTGTCTTTAATGTTAGAAAGGATTTCTCTTTACAATGGACTGATCATTTGAAATAGTTCTTAGTCTTTGAGGTACAGGTTCATAACACTACTTTTTGTCTATAATCATAGCCCGTAATAGCAGTCAACTAAGTTTAGGTGAAAGCCATGCATGCCAATACTGTGTTTGCTATCATGACAATTTCCTTGATTTTTTTGTAATTATACAAATATTTTGAAAAGTGTAGCATTCAAAACCAAGTTTTTGCTTGGTTATTGAATGACTTGCAGCTGTCCCTCCATTATAAGTGGAATGAATTTGTGCTCTGTGTGTGTGTGTGTATGTGTGTGTATGCAGGTGTATGTTTGTCTGTGCCTGCACACACATGCACATCCGCAATTGCTTCATGATCAGAAAATAAGACAGGTAGTACAGGATAACCCAACCTGGAATGGTGGCAACTTCATGACACCAATTGTGCATTGCTGATATACAGGGGGAACCCAGGGTGGGAGGGGTAGCTTCTTATCCCGAGACAAATATAAAATGTCCTTAGGTACTAGAAATATCTTTTGTTCAGAAGTGATATGATGGTAGTACTCATTTCTGGTTACACTAGTTATTGAAGAATTCAATAATATGAGACGTTTTAAATTATGCCCCTTTTAAAATTTTAGGTACATTCAAATCCATTTAGAAGTCCATTTTACTCAGCCCCTATTTCTTTCTAGAAGCTCAGGGTTTCCTTAGTGCCTCCCAGAAAGTTTATATTTAATTAGGGAAAATTGGTACATGGTGGGAGTGGGGATAGAGTGCTAGAAGGTCTATTTTTAATCTTCTAGCTAGACCCTCCCCAACTACTCTGGCCTTTCTCAAGATCTCATTTAACCCCAGGCCTTCATTTTCAGCCAAGGATATAGACACCCAGGCAGCTTTATGGTCTTTACTATGAGAATTAGGAGCAGAGGGAGAATCCAGATTTCCTCATGCCTGGCTCCACACACGAGCTTGCTGAACATTTCCTTGGTTGTGGCATATATAACACTAGAAAATATTAGACATATTTTCTTTAGAATTATCTTTGAACCAACACTGTTGTATAACAATTGTACCAATTTCCCTCTTTCTTTTAGCTAATTACTAGGATTTTTTGTATTGCTGTTTGAGGGGGACTTGGCTCAAAACTCAAGTTTCCAATAATTTCATTTTAAATTGAGCCTTTTCAAGTCCTGACCTTTTATGTCATGTGTAACTGAACACCTTCACCTCTGTTATTCATTCCCAATTTTATCCAATCCAGTTTTACCACTTTAGTCCCCTTGTGCTGACTTCTGCATGGTCAGAAAATATGAAGTCAGCAGGCATTTGCCACTATTTATTGCCCATAACTTCTCCCTCTTTACACAGACATGGAAACACACACACAGACACATGGACACACACACACACACACACACACACACACACATACTTCATCTGTTGCTTGTTCCTACCTCCTGATATTCCCTACAAAAAATAGAAATAGAGACAAAGAAAGGGAAATGTATATATGGGGGCTGGGCTGAACAACTAACTTCATAAGTAGTGTTAACTAGAGAGAAGAGCTTCTTTTCTCTTCACTGTTTGGGAAAGGATAGCCATTAGCATGACTGCTTTGTGTCCTTATGGACTTAGGATTAGCCTAGATAGAATCATAGAATTTGCTAGCTGGAAGGAACCTTAAGATCACATCATCTATTCCAAATCTCTCATTTTTCAGGCCAGAAAAGGGAGACATAGATGTAAAGAAATTTCCCCAAGGTCACACAGCTGGCCGGGGATAAGGCTGGGATTAGAACTCACATCTTTTGGCTCTTATTCCAGGACCATTTCCCACTTACCAGCATTGCCTTTCACTAGACTCTTGAGAATTATTTCCCAGGGTCATGTTGCATTTGGAGCCATATGTTTCATACACAACAGGAAAACCACCCAGGAACCTCATAAGGCCTTTTCTCCTCACACTCCCATGGTTACAATCTACAGAAGCTACAGATGTCCCCAAAGAGAGAATAATATTAAAGAACAATAGGAGATACAGTCCATCCATGTAAGAGTACAACTGGGCCACTTCGAGGAGCCTCCAAATAGCCTTCTGAGCAGTGTCAAAATGGAACAGGAGACTAATTTTCCATTCCAGCTCACCTCGTACCCTCTCATGCTGGTTGGTCTTCCCAGGCTAAAGGAAAGATTTCTAGTTTTCGAAGGAAAAAAGAAAGAGTAGAATAATTTTTGTTTCTTATAACTGCTACTGGCAATGTATACGTTTGAAATATCAGAGTGAAACAAGCTACAGAAAATAATCTTATGTTATTATGGTTGCCCTAACTCACACCATGCCCTTTTAGTTACCCACCCTTGATGGAAACAATTTCCAGGCATACGCATTGGGCTTTGTGACTAAAATGTACCATATCTGGTGTTAAACATTGCCTCCTCATTTCTGCTCCAAAATAGCAAGCAGTGTGCTCTCCACAGCAGGCCTTTCTTCCTGTGTACATTGCTTCTATGGCCAGGGCAGCAAGGTCTGAACATTTAACTCTCCCTGAAACATGTTTCTTCCTGAAAATTAAGGGCTATTCATTGAGTTGTAAGAAATCTTCTGCTAGGCTCATCCCACTGCTCAGGTACCTCTCTACTTCCTTCTTCTCTCCAACCAGAAGTAATCAAGGAATCTTAAGGTAGATGTGCAGTTATCATATAGACATTTTCTAGAATTATCTAGCACAAGTCTTAGAACAACAATTCATTGTTTGCCTTGGGTCAAATTGTAGCTGCAACCCTAGTATTTTCAATTCTCTGGATAGAGAAGACATAATGCCACTCAATGCCATCTGATTAGTAATGGATTTTTCTTTTTATAATAAAAAATCCAATTTCTCTGGGATGAAAGAATAGGCATGCCAATGTCCTCATAGTGAGTTCCAGCACAGTGATTAGAAGGCTTCAAAGGATCAGCCCTCCTCAGAAAGATTTGTATCCAGAAAGTTCCTTAGACAGATGCACTGGGACAATGTGGTTTCAATTCCCTTCTTTGTGATGGTCCAGATAGATGTAGCAATAAAAGGCACAGGGTATTTTTCTTTATTCTTTTTGTTTTCTTTCATTTTTTTAAATAAACAGGTATTTGCAAACTGCCTTTGGCTGCATGGGACTACATGGATCTATGACTAGGCATCATTCATGTATTGTCCTTACTGCATTAAATGTTTTGGATTTTAGGGTCCAACTGGTTTCCTAAGTAAACAAGCAATGGTTTGGATCACATCTGGAGCAAGGTACTAGCTGAAGGCTTAGATTTTGGATCTGAAATCCAGAGAGGACAAAGGCTATATACTGTTCCAGTCATTTATATTGTCCAGTGATTTGAGATCTCTTTATAGCAATTGAGTCCTGTAAAGGCTAGGCCTTCCTGACTCTCTTCTAGTATAGAATTTAGAAGCTGGTATACTTCTACCTCTTCCTTAAGAGGGCCCCATGTAAGCCCTATCATTGATCCATGAATCCATGAACGTTTTCCTTTTCCCTTGAAGGTATAACCATATGGAGCAAGAGTAATTCATTGATGCTTCTTAAAAATTTTGTACTGTCATTATAAAGGTGATATATAGAGGGGTTAAAGTTACATGTCAGGTAAATACTACATTTCTTCTTGGACAATGTCACTCATTCTCTTGTCATTGATTCTTTATGTCTACATTT